GCGCTATCAATATGTTTGTAATGAGATTGCAGTAACTTTCAGAGGGTTTATTAGTGTGAAAAGGGCAATGGAAAGTCTCTTTCCAGAGAATAATAAGGGCTGGGAGATGAAGACTAAAAAGGGATACAACTGATCTATAAGTATATCAATGGATTAAAAAAATCAAGGAGAAAGAAGTTCTACTTCAGCTGAAAGACAATGTAATCATAACAATAAATAAATACAGACTGTGAAATTTAGAACATTCTGAGAAGGCAGCTCACACAGAGTGAAGAGAAGCTGGGTTTTTTTTGTAAGAGTATTACCTAATGCTATTGCTATCTTAAAGACCATTATGTGGAGTTCACCTGGAAGCTCCTCCACCATCCTGAAGTTTCTTATGAATTCTCTGACTGTTGAAATTAGGCCAAACTGCCCTCCAACTTTAGGAATAGGTGAATATAAGGTAAGAACTGGAAAAGAACAGCAAAAGTCACCAAGTCCAAGCTCCTGACATTACATGTAAACCTGAATATAATCCAATTAATAACACTGTCAAGCTTCATATCCAAATAAATCACATTATATGCCTCCACTGGCCACACAAGAAGAGTATTCCAAAACCTCAGTACTATAACTCTGGGAGGTTTTTCTTATTTTCACCTTCAGTTTTTCAAGGATATTCTTTCCAGCACAAAATATCACTTCATCACAGTCATCTTCTTTTTACTATATCAGAAAAGTTACGTTTTTGCTCTAGTCTTATGCCATATACTGTTCATCATTTCTAGCAGGGTCTTCTTCATAGCTGGAGAATCAAATTAATTCTTTAAGATTAATCAGTCTTTCTTGGACGGGGAAGATTAGGTATGTGCCAAGTTCCAGATTATTGAAAAACTTTCCTAACCTCTGCATCTGCTTGCTGAGGATGAAGGCTAAAAGACACAAGGAGTAGATGTAATTCTGAAGGAAAATAAGGAAACACAGGAGGAAGCTTTTTGGTTAGAGTTTCACTACAGGTAAGCAAGAGCAGTCATTTCCCAGAGCAATGCTTGCTGCCTGAGAACAGCAGCAAGGAATGGCCAAAGGTTCTCTAATGTGTGGCTGTCTTTGTTCCCACCTGGAGTACTGCATCCAGTTCTGGGGTCCTCAGCACAAGAAAGATGTGGACCTGTTGGACTGAGTCCAGAAGAGGGCCACCAAGATGGCTAGAGGGATGGAGGACCTCATACAAGAAAAGGCTGAGAGAATTTGATTTATTCAGCCTGGAGAAAAGAAGGCTTTGGGGTGATCTAATTGTGATCTTTCAGTACCTGAAGGGAGCCTACAAGAAAGATGGAGAAAGACTTTTTACAAGTCCAGGCTGTGATGGGATATGGGTGAATGGATTCAAACTGAAAGACAGTATCTTTAGATTAGATATTAGAAGGAAGTTCTTTGCTATGAGGATGGTGAGACACTGGACCATGTTGCCCAGAGAAGCATCCCTAGGGCAGACCAAGATGGATGGAGTTCTGAGCATGGATGACCAAGATGGATGGAGTTCTGTCTACAGAAAAGTCTCCCTGTCCATGGCAGGGGGGGTTGGAACAGGATGATCTTTAAGTTCCCTTCCAATCCAAACCATTCATAGCACATTCCACTGACAGCTAATCAAGGCCTTGGCATTGCCACAGACTATGTGACACTGGAATAGGACCCAGAAAGCAAGTAAGCCAACTGACCCAGCCTTTCTTGAGAAAACAGTCCACATGATCCAGTCTTGTCACCTCAGGCCCACTGGAAATGTTGGATAAGTAAATAAATAAGATGTTGAGTTTTTTCTCTCCCTGAATGTAGAACTTCCCCAGACACTTGTGGAAGGACAAGTGTCCTTCCCAGACACTTGTGGAAGGAGAAAAGCCCAGACAAACTTGGCCATGAGACAAACATCTTGGTTTAGGAGTCACAGTTCTGAGCTGGAGACACACAAAAGGTATCCTGGATGAATAGGTAGAATTTAAGTGAGGCCATTAGAAAGAGGAACCACATATAATAGAGGTGGTGCATGTTCTCATCCATGTGCAAACTCTGAGGGGAAAGGATTTTTACACCATCTAGAAGTTGATAAGGTATAAATGCAAACTCTGTGACAACACCTGTAATGGAACTGCCCTCCAGTGCAATAGATTTTGCTCTAATTTCCACCCTGTTCCTACTCCTCAGGTCTCCAAGGATTGCCTTTCTTCCCTCTTTAGCTTTTTGCCACCAAAATGTTCATTAGCATATTCTTATTTTGATCATTAATGGAGGTGATGAATAGTACCATTGAATGATCCTGTGCTCATGACTGAATTCTGAGAAATTCCACTTGGAAAACAAACAAATCCAGAAAACCAAAAATACTAGCATGCAACTTCCAGTAGTTAAAACTGTTCCATTTTCATAGTACAGACTTTGGGCTTCTTAGCCTCATAGCAAACTAAAGTGGATTATAAAATCTGTAAATATGAACTAAAATAGAAAGAGGAAGACAAGAAGGATTCAGTTGTGATAAAAGGAAATCTGCACAAAGAATGAGGGTAAAGTACAATGCAGCTGTTACATTTCAGCATCACTTATTGAAGAAAATTAATATCAAGCTCTTTTAAAATTATCTTTTTTCTTCCTTTTATTTAGCTTTTATGTACAAAAATGCAGTAATTGCTCGAGTAAATGCACTCTTGAAAGTGCTAAGACCTCAGCATTAATAGAACTTGCTTTCAGTATTGATTGCATGTATGTTTGCTGGTTAATTATTTAACTGTGAAACTGCTCACTGTTTTATTGTTCCTGGTTGTTCTACCAATTTATACTTCTGGCAAGCATCAATTTCTACTCATCACAGAAGAAACTCTACTTGATTAGAGTCAGAAACCATTCTATTTGGTTCTATTTTTTAAGTGCAACATGTTCTCTGTACATGGAATAAATTATATACCTGCTACATTGCCAGATGCATAGTCAGTAGGCAATCTTCTGCAAACATGGGAGGGGTTTGTTGTTTTCACATCAAAATGAACCATCTCAATCAAAATGCAAAATTCACACTCATTGCCATCTGGATGGTTGTAAACATAAAGTCCCCGGACAGTATTTTCCAGAAACTTTGTGTTTACAAATGGAGAGTGGCTCTCTCTCCTTTACTGATGTAACTCCAGAAACAAAACTAGCAAGATAAAAATCACCGTGAGGTATTATAGCATATACTAAACATTTTCAAAGAATTGTCAAAGAATTTAACGGGATGTAAATTATTAATATCAAGGAAACAATGGCATAAGCACGTGGGCAGAGCAACAAAGATAAAAGTTGTGCCTTTCATTACAGAGAGCATCAAGCAGATCGAAGGTATGCATGATGGAGAATACACCTGAGTATTTCTAATTCACAACAGCAATAATCACAGGCAATGTACAAAAATAATGAGGCAAATTGCTTCCACTAATGTTTTTTGAAGTTACAGCCCTGTGAAAGACATACTGCCTGGACATTAGTATTTTTTACAAATTAGTATGGTGTCAGTGTGTTGGAAGGATATATATGCTAAGCAGCCAGGAAGTCTCCCAGAACAAGACACATAATTGACAAATATTGAATAGATCAAATCTGCTATATATACATACAGGTTGTCTTATTGGAAATACCTGCAGAATCCATTAGCAGCTCATTGGATTACATTCTTTTTGTTCCAAACAACCAAGAACCAAGCAGCCTTCAACATAGTAAAGCACACCATTTTCCCCATAATCTATCTGGCAGTCAATGAGTAGGTAATAGCATGTCTGAATGCTTTGAATACTAAATACAAAAACAGAGAAAGCCAAAATATTCTCAGGTCCACACACAACTGCTAGAGTGGAATGCTCACAAAGTTATCTGTACTCATGTCTTGAATCTGCTTTTAATTTTAGCCTTCACTTGCATTATACAAATCCAGTCAAGTCGACAGTCACATTCTGTAAAACTGGTATAACCAAATAAACAGCCTTTTAATATGCTCAGCAAAATTCACTATTCCTGAAAAGCCTGATCTCTGGTTAAGTGCAAATCTACATGTTCCCTGAGTCGTTTTTTGGTTTTGCTTTGTTTTATTCCAAATGAAACATGAATGGTTGTCTTCTATAATGCTCACAGAAATGGAGATCCACAGGAGAGCAAACACTCAGCAGGATTTTTATTAAGAAGCTTCTCAAATGCAGTGATCCCAGCAGCACTGCTCAGCCCATGCCAGAGCATGGGGACAGCATCTTGGGGCTGTCTCCTGCATGTACTCCAAAGGCAGGGATCCAGCTGCCTAATTTGGTATCCATTTAATTCACCTCCCTTAGAGACAGCCCGCAGAAGCCATTGCTAAACTTATTGCTCACTGCCTTGATACCAGTTTTTAAGCAGGTCTGCAGGGCAGACCTTCAATATCCTGAACTAATGCCCTGTACTGATTCAAACAGAAGAAACAATAAAAAGCAACAGAATTGGTAGGCACCAGGATAAACATGGTACAATGAGGAAGAGTCAGCATGGTTTTTCTAAAGAGAAGCTGTGCTTCACCTATCTACCAAAGTCCTCTGACACGTCAATAAAACATTGGCAGCACAGATCTGTTTGATACCATCTGTCTGGATTTCCAGAAGGCATTTAAAAAGTTGCCTCCCTTGAGGCTCTTGAGGAAGCTAATCAGACATGAAGAAATGCTCAGAAGATGGGAAGAAAGGAGGTTAAGTATTAGTTGCCTCTCACAGTAGAAAGAGATCACACATGGTGTCCCACATGGCTTTGTGCTGAAGTCCGCATTGCTCAACACAGATCACAAGGGTTCAGAAACAGTGTCAAAAAGGGATGAAAATATTTGCTGATGGCACTGAATTAGTCAGTGACACATACTATGGCTGATTGCAGACTCACATAAGAACTTCCTAGTATGTAATGACTAGGCAACAAAAATTCACTGTAGAGGAATGTAAAATGAGGACAAACATTGCTAGAAATCACTACAAAAAGAATCAAGAATATAAAATATTATTTTTCTGTTGTATAAATACATTACATATCCACATCTTCAGCAGTGTTTATAGTTATGTGTCCATCTGAAGACAGATATAGAAGTCCTGTAAAAGATACAGAAAAGTGCAACAAATATGATTAAAGTTACGGAGTGATTACAGGATGAAAAACAATAAAATAATTAAGGGGTTTTTTTTGCAAAAAGAAATCATATACTAGAGAACAGTAAAATCAGGAGTGGCCTGAATAAGGTGAGTAGGAAATAACTGTTTCTTTCAGCCCAAAATCTGGAAGATATCAAATGAAGCCAGAAGATGCCAGTCTCCAGGCAAACAAAAGGACCTGTGTCTTCACTCATCACATTATTAATCAAGAGAACTTTGTGCCAGGACATTGTGGATGCTAAAAATGTATCTGAATTCAAAATAAGAGTTTGATAAATTCATGGAACAAAAGGACACCTAAGACTATTCAATATAAACCCACATCAAATAGTTTAGGAAGTCACAGAATTACTGATCAGCAGACACTCAAAAGGTAATTTGGAGAGGGCTTCTAGAAGGCCCTTACAATCTTCTCAAGAAACTTACTTGGTAATCACTATTGGAAAAGAAACAAGGCACAGAGCTAGAGGAAACTGCTCTTACCCATATGCAATTATTCAAGTTAGAATTGGAGTTATGCACTGTCAGTTTTGGGTCACTGTGCACGGAAGTAATCTGTGCCTCACCTGCAGAATGAAACTGGAATTTCTGGGCTGTGCCATCAAACTGTGCACATACAGATGTGCTTCTTGGAGAAACACCAAGCCTGCTTTACACATGGAGCCACAACCTCCAATGTGTTCTGAATGTCCAGGGTTTCTAATGTATGCCACACCTCTCCTCACAACTGTGCATGCTCACCGTCATTGCACAATTGTCAGATTTCCCAGGAAGAGGGTTGCTGCATACCTGCAAATCTTAGATAAATACACAGTTTCTCTATATTGTGCCAGACAATTTCTAAGTGAGAAATAATTTGTGTTCATGAGAAAACAGAAGGATGGTAATCCTGGAGTGAATGTGGCTTCTCTGTCTTGAACCACGCTTTTTATATCTTTTGCTGGTTCTTGTTTTCATTGTCTGAAATGAGAGGCCTCTTTGTCTCTGCTTGGTGGTGGGACCTAAAGGTTTGCTAGACAGTTACATTTCTTTAGCCTCACCATTTTTGTTGTCACAGTTCACAGTCCTATAATGAGAGGTGGTTGAGTTCATGAGAACACCTTCAAATTTCTTTTTGCCAAAGTGATCTTTCATACTGCACATGTGACTGAGGCTCTCGGGTGCACAGGTGTGGTTTTATAGTGAAGTAAACCAAGATAGGGTCTTCATCATGTTCATTTACCTTAGTGTTTGCTTTGCTGTTTCAACATAGTTTTCTAAGTCCATTGACCTCCAAATAATACAGGCTGCAAGTGCATCTATGAGACCTCCATACCTTTCAAATATCTGAAATTCCTGGGATATTTCATGTGTTCTGTTATATGAAACAGCTTTATCATAAATGTTGCTGTTTAATGCTATCCTGTTGTTATTGATTGCCTTGCTGACTAATTATTTAGCTGAATTTCATGAATAAAACTGGCGCAATAATTGCTGCAAGCATGTCCTGGTCACCTCTGTGTTTAAACAATTCCATTGCCAAATGCTTTCAGTCTCTGCCTCAGAAATTAGCACAAGCTTATTGTAAGTTTATCCTTAATATTCTCTGTACAATGAATTTTTTTTCTTCTGTTTCTGCTTTGTGTTGAATTTTAATTTTTTTTCAATTATTCTTGCATGTTTTTTGGTCAGCACAATATCAACATGAGTTCTGTGGGATTTTTCTCAAATCTCCACATTTTCCTCAAAAGAACTGTTTCTTTTTCTTGTAGGACTAGTTCACTTCCTGCAGACAATTCTGCTTTTATTTTAATCAATTTTATTTTAATCAATTCTGTAAGAATTGATTAAGTTTTCTACCAGCTATCCAGATGATTTTTTTGGTTTTTTAAAACATTATATTACTTCCCTTTGTATCTGAGGGATTATTTGTAGATTACGATAAGTGTATTGTGCTATGCCCTGGTCCTACATCTCATACTCTGAAACAAAGTGAGACCTGTTTGACAAAAAAGTAATGTAAGCCTCCAGTTTTACATTCAATTACAAGCTATATTTTCCATCTTTTTTCCTCACAGAGAAAGGTTTTCTCACAGAAAATTTGGCAGCAAGGATACCAAACCTTCCTTAAGAATATTTTCCAGGAATCGTTTATACAATTTACCTCTCCAGAGCTTGGTTTTCCTTGCTGTCCTATCATTGTGTCTCACTTCAAATCTCTTGCAGACACATTATGATTCTCATGTGTCTCACAAATAAATATGGAAAGTTTTCTTAGTGTTACTAGTGTGACTTTCACCTGGGGGGTAGGAGGGCTGGTGCTTTTGGCTGTTTCTGAAAGAACACAGATAAACTTTCTGACACCTAATGACAATGTGAAATAAATCCTTCTCTGCTTGAACATGAATTTGCTCCCCCAGTTAATTGTTCTCCATTTGCTCCATTCCTGCCACAAGGCTGCTCCAAGGGCTGCTGTTGAAGGAGCTCAGAAACCTGTTTCACACATGTTAATGAATTATCAGACTTTCCAGCTCACACTCTGCTTTCAGTAGCCAGCTCAGCAGAAGCAATCAATCACCAAAAAGCTGGAGCCTTCATTGATTTCAGCTGCTTGGCTTTTCTAAAGGGAAATATACATGGATATAGATATTTATTACGATTCCTCTCACTCTATCTCCTAAAAGCTTAAGCAATTAATCAATAATGAACAGCCTCCTTTATATTTTACAGTCACATTTTAAGCTGAAAAATAGCCTGAATGATAACATGTGTTGATTGCAGACACCCCCAGTAGCAGCTGCAATCCAGCTTCTGTGGGAGGTTTTTCTGCAGCCAACACCAGGGGAGAGGACAGTGTGGGAGCAGGTGTCTGCAGCTCTGCGTCCTGTACAGGAGATCAGCCCTTATTGTCCACCAGCCCTGTGAGGAGGAATGGGGATAGCCAGCATGAACACGCATTTGGATCCACCACCAGAAAAGGGGTACAGGGAATTACTGATGGTGCTGCTGGAGTGTAGCTGGCCCTCGCTTTGGGTGTTGTTTATTTAGAGCATACTGAGAAGCGCTGAATTTGGAATCTCCTCTTTGTGGCACAGCCACAAGAAGTGTAGGCTTAGGACTTAAGCTTAAGAACATTAATGTTAGGGGATTCTGATAGGCACTTTTATTCTGTCATTACCAATAATTTGCAAAGGCAGGAACAAAATCAATCTCATAAATAACATAATCCGTCTTGGCAGAAAATGCCTATAGAGGAATTAACATTTTAAAATACTTCCAGCTTCCGCTAGAAAAACTGTGAAGCATCTGTCTCAAAAAGAAAGGGTTTGTAAATAGTTTTCTGGAGGTCAGGTAATTTTTTTACACATTATTACCTCATAATTTAGTTGGATGCAGATTATGGCCTATGAACATCAAATACTTGATCTTCTCACTCCTTTTATTGCACATTGTTCATCATACACTTCTCTAATGCAAACTTATTCCTTCTGACCTAACAGTGATCTCAATTGTTTTTCTTAGAAGAAAATGTTCAGCAATGTTTATGACAAAATATTTCCAACTGTTGTTTTGTTGCTACCTTTTGATTTTATCATTCACAATGGGTTATGGTTGGTGATTACTAAATGCATATTTCTACTCACTAAGGCTTTAATTTCTACTAAAATTGAATAAAATAAGCTTCATGACTCAAGCTTTAAAAAGCCAGATGTTTTTAAAAAATCTTTCTACATTTTAAAACAACTGTTTATTAGACAGATGAAGAGAACATTTAAAGTTAATTTTGCTATCAGGATAAAGCGTTCAACAAAACTGGAATTTTTCCAACAACACCAGTTGAAATAGGATAAAATCATAAGGGTTAGAAATTGAGTGTAAAAAGTATAGGTCTGATGAAACTGAGATATTAATGTGCTTCCAACTGCAAGCAACATACATTAAAACCCTTCCCCATTTCCTTTTCCCCTCAAATGCAACATGGGCAGTTTATAGGTAATGGTCTCTCACCATAATGGTAGGTTAAAGATTACTCAGTAATAGTCACTAAAAGGCTTAACATTAAAAACTTGACTGGTTTTACCCTTTATTTTTCTTTTTTTTTTTTTTTTGTGCTGGTAATTTGTGTTCACAGAGGTCAAAGAGTGAATTCCAATGGACTTTTTGAGTTTCTTTCCAAAATTTCAATGAAAAAACTATTACAACATTTTTTGATCACGGCAGGTCAGGTCACAGTCCACCTGGGTCCATGCCCCCCTTTAACCTATCTCTAAAGTGGCCAGTAGTGGATGTTGAGTGAATGAATGCAAGAGATGAGACAGATCCACAGCCAGGTCATCCACAGGCACTGACACTTTGCAGCTAAGGACATCCTTAACTGGAGTTTATACACTGACATCCTGTGCCACAGTTATAAACAGTATCTGTGAATGTTGCAACTCCTTGACATGATATATTTCAAGTCCAAATCATTCTATGGTATTTAGTTCTGTAGCATAATTATAATGTTAACTGGAAAAGTACATCCCCTTGCTCATTTTAAATCGGTTGTCCAACAGAATTTCATTTGATTCCTCCTAAATGCTTGTATGGGCAGAAAATGATGGCTAACACCCATTGTATTCACAAGTTCAGAGTTCTCTCTCAAATCCCTCCTTAAATTTTCTTCTGCAAGCCAGTCAGACCAAAACTATTTTGAGTTTCTTCATACAGAAACTGTTACATCTGCTCAATGTTTGAAATGTTCAGCTGTCATCTTTAAACTGGACTATCCTGAATAATTCATTACCATTCCCAAACTAACCTCTACATATCCAAGATTGTTTATGGCCAGTTAATTGAGTAGTGTCCATCTCAGTAGAGATACTTTCAGAGACTCCTTATAACATCCTTCATTGTGAAGACAAGAACTCTGAAGAGAACTTTTTTCTTTCATTAGATAATACCTACATTTAGTTCAAATACTTTCGTGAGGGACTTCAGATTTAAAAAAAAAACTGAAAAAATCAGTATACTTACTGTAAACACTGGGTGACCCTTGTCCATTGACCTCTAGTATCTCCAGTAGCTTTGTGAAACACCACATCAGATATAGAGGTTTGGCTGATTTTTCTCCAGCATATCAATCTGAATGGAGTATTTACTTTTTGTATTCTTTTGTATTCTTTTGTATAGTTTCCACCAATATATTCATATGTATTTTCTTCTCATACGCCCTTTCTGTTTTAGAACAATATCTGTAAGGAAAACATATTTTAATTTTTTGTACTCTATGCTCAACAAGCCCAAGGAACTTTAACAAAAAATTAATACAACACCTTTGCAGAACTTCAAGGGCAGGTTTAACTGTAGAGAGAGGCTTGAAGGCCTTTTCGAAGTAATTCAAAGCCCACTGAGTCTTTTTGCAGCTCCAAAGATTTCCAATGCATTTAGATGACTTGGTCACTGTGTGTTTGATGCAAAGAGAAATTTGCAGCCACGGCTCTGCTGTAGAAAAGGATTCTGACTGGTTGTAAAGTTCCCCATGAGGCTGATGCTCTTCTGTAGACTTCCAAGACTTCCTACGGACTTCAGTGAGCACAGAATAAAGCTACACCATCCCACTGCTGCTTTGGGAAGCAAAGCCCATTTCAAGCAGAAGGAATTTTTCCATGGAGAAGAATCCTGTGCCATGTTTTGGGAGAACAAAATCTCAAAGTCTTTCCTCTGGAAAACTCATCTGAAGTAACAGCTTAAAGGAATTCTGCATTAGATAGTAAGTGTCTAATTATTAAAAGTGCTGCATCAAGGTAAGGAAAGAAAAAGTTGGTCTGGCATTTTATTGAACTTTTTCATTTGTAAAATATGTAAATGAGCAGTGATAAAAATGTCAGTACTGATATTTTATCTACTCTTCCTCCTTTTCTTACATATTTTACATTATCCAAATAACTCCTTATCAGCTCATTTTTGAAAAAATGCACTTTATGTCTATTTTCCCAATACTTTGATGCAAAACTTCCATGCATGCACTACAATTTGCACATTGAAAGCCAATTTACAATGCAAAATTTCACGTTAATTTTTATATGCAATTCAAATTTCCAGAACAATGGCACATACATTAAAAAATACTGCATTTTGAAAATATAATCTTGGGTAGGCAATAGATTGGTATTGCACCTACAAAAGAATATCAAAAAACAGTGAAACATGTCTACAAGTCACAGCAAAAAACACATTAGCACTCTAAGCAGTAGTCTGTTTACATTAAAATTAGCTCTGAGAAGGTTTACTGGGAAACCAAGTGCTTATATTTTCCATTAGAGCACTGAGTGCAAGATGTAGAGTTGCTTCCATTTTTGTGTGGCTCCTGTTCTTCTAAGCCACATGGAAATACCGATTGACATTGAATTTTCTGTAAAAATCCAAATGAATTTCAACTAAAGACTTAGAGTTGCATGAAACTAAGAAATAAGACTGTGATGGCTGCATGCCTTTAGGGAAGCAATCATTAGTTCACACTCAGGAATATGGTGGTGGATCTCACCAGGGATGTTTGGAGCTACAGAAAGGCTCAGGGACAGCAAAATTTCCAAGCCTGTACTTCACACTTGGCCCAGTCACTTCTCATTTAATACCAGAGGATGATTTGTACAATGATCAAGTGTAGAATCTGGCCAGCATTTAACTAGCTGGATGAATAGGAAGTACTATAAAGGTGTTATTGTCATCTAAAAATGACCTAAAGAAAAGTAAAAAAATATTCACACTTTGGAGGCCTCTGGTATCTCTGCAATTTAGATAAGATAGTGCAGCACCAGTTCTGCAGCCCAGATGTCACATTAGAGATTTTTCTGTAACCATGAGCTAAACAAAATTCCTTTTTGTTAATGATTCCTGAAATTTTGGACAGTTGGTAGCCCAGATTCTGAATTTGTCGGTAGGCCCCATAAATGCTCCTTTAAATGCCACAGATCCACTGTACAGTCTGTTTATGTGATAAACCTGTTTCAAAGCATGACGGGGGGACGGAAGAAAAGAGATCTGCTGAAATGTACTTGTTACTTCTTGGAGTTAATTTTGATTTGCTGAGTTGCTCTTGACCTTTTACTATCCCAGACTTTTTACTACCCCCATTTACCATATTTGCACTAAGATCCCTCTGCACAGCCATGAATAAGGGCAGGATGACCACAGCCACTTTGTAGAACCACAGTCACTAAATTAAATTGTGATCAAATGTTGGTTACTGGGGCAAATGCTTTTTTAAATTTTCAGCTAGGGAAACTGATATTTATCATTTATACAGCATTCCACATATCTGAAATACTGAAAACATTTTAAATTGATTAATCCTGTCTGTCATACACATTGAGGTCAAGCTCGCTTTTATGGGCAGCAGTATTACTCAGGATTAACTCAACAGAATTCAGCTTCTTCAGCATTACATGATAATCTAATTTGGCTTTTAGTAATTACAAATATTTAAAGAGGTTAAAACATTGAATTAAATGTTGTCCTGATCTGCAAAGCTATCGCTGTGGTCTACAGGATTCCACAGTTTCAGGCAATGGCAGGATCAGCTCATTTTGAGGTTACGCTTGTGTAAGGGATAAAATTTATGCCTGAGACAAATTCACTGAACACAGGTTTTTGCCAACACCACAGGCCCTTGCCACATCTGCACTACAAGTGCAAAAATTCAGAGCAGGGCAAGAAGTTACTGAATCTCCACCAGGCTGCACCAGTGCAAATACAGGCCAAAGGGAGGGTTTCTCTTACTGCTACAGAAGAGTAGCAGGCTGGCACACAGAAAGGACAGTGAGCACACACCACTAACTAGGTCCAATGCAGCAAATCCTCACCCTTCCAGTATTAATGCACTTTATCATATTGGATACATATTTAAAATAACTGTAGGTTAAAAAAAAATAAAATAGTCTCTCCTTAAAAAAAGAGCAGATAGTTAATTCCTACTCATGGTCACAAGAGGAAAACCAAGAAATAACTAGGTTATTTTACATCTTGGGAGATTTAGAATAGACATTAGGAATATGCTTTCCAACTTAAAGGATTGTTAAATACCAAAATAGGTTAGCTTGAAGGCAATGAACTAGAAAGGCTTTAGGAAATGGGAAGCTGTAAGATCACTTAAGCATACTTGCATTGAGGATGGTCTAGGATACAGCTGATCAGCTCAGTGTAGGTCATGAAGCACCAATCTCCTGAATTCCCATACAGCTTCACAGTACCATGATTCCATAGGGCTATAGCTGCCCTTAGCATGGCACAATACAAATAATCCTGAAAGCAAATGTCCAACCTGAAACAATTGTACAGCTGACTAAATTAAAGAGAAAGCAAATGTCCTCACAAATTTCTTACTATCCTTTATCTCAAAGTTATGTACTATATTGAGTCAGACAAGAAAACAAACACCATATTCTGATGCAATCCAGTCCTGTCTGTTTTGCCCACATCACTGTTTCTTTTTCCCTATCTTGATTACATATCAGAGTAGTCCAGGCTTAAAATTGCAGTTGTCAGAACAAGAGGTCACTTGAGTCATTGCAATTTCTAGAAATGTGGCTTATGCCCTCAGAATTTTCTCTGGCATGGTTTTATTGAAAATGAAACATATTCCATATCACCCTTTCTTTGCAAAACTTTAAAAGAGCTGACAAAGTGGGACAAAATGGCTAAAGGGTTTCTGCTTGGGTTTTTTTGACTTCATAAACATTAGTACAATGCATTCCTGGTTTGGCCACTTTTATGGCTGACTGCCTGCACTTCTGGTAAAGAAATAGTTTAAATGAACCACACTGTAAACTGATGCCCCATTGCAGTCATGGTGACTGCATCACCCCATTAGAGAGGGCAAAACATTTTGATTTGCCTTAGAATCAAACTCTTCACTGCTGTAACTCCTTTGATCTGTGTAAACCTGACTTTTACTTTCTTTAGTTATTCAAATTGCAGCTTGAGTTTTCACATGTATTTTTTTTACGGTAAAAATTACATTTGTCTGTAAAAATACAAGCCCTGATCTGAATGCAGTCTTGGTCACCTAGTACTGTAAAATTAGAAACTGAAAGCTGAAATGACACATTCAAGAATATATAGTCAATCTGATTCATATTAGAGGAAACAAAACAAAAAAATCATGAGATAGAATTCACTAATTTTTTCCCTTAAATACCAATCTTATTCCCACAGTAAGATTACTAGCTAGTAAGTATAGCTAGTGTCTAGAAAGCTACTTTTCAAATGTGCACCAATACTTTGCCCCTAAGTATAATCTGTAAAGATGCACGTGGAATACAGACGTTAAAAATAGTACATCAAATTCTGGTCCAAACCAAATTATGTTCCTATTTTGTATCAGTAAATCCCCAGCACAGGTCAAAAGGCACAACCAGCACCCAACAGAATAAAAGCTGAGCACTGAGAAAAAGCTTTACTGTATCAACAACACTGAAGCAGGAATAAAAAATATTAGCATAAAAAACCAGTAAAAAGTAAGCTACATTTATTCTCTAAATAGGGAAAAAAGTCCACAGTATTTGTGGTTCTCAAATGCTTCAGAAGATTGCAGAGTATTTAGTGGAAATCTTTCAAAATTGCCAACTAAACTGATGGACATCTTGTTTGTACATGTTACATTACCAAAATTGGGCATTGCTATATTTAAATGAGATTTTGTGGAAGCTTTTCAGGTCTTACCAGTTTCAGACTAAACCAAACAGTGGTTCATTGAAATTGAAGCATTTTCCAGTCAGTCTGGCCTAAAGACAAGCCTTAAGTGACTTTAATTCTGGAATTGTTTCAATTAAAAAAAGAAAGTTTAAAGATGCTATGCTACTTATGTTAATTTGGTTTTGCTACACAGAATGTTTTCCCAGCTTTTATATTTATTAGTTATATTTTCAAGATTTTAATATCTGCCTCTAATTCTTTTTTTCATTTATTTTGTATTCTAGATGGGTTGTGAGAGGTGTAGTCCAGGTGGGAAAGGCTGCATTACAGAGTTCAGAAAGCATGCTATAAAATGTAATTCTTAGTAGCATCAGCTATATCTTCATGGGCTAACAGCAGCTGATATGAATCTAGCCTCTGGGACAGTCTGACAGCAATAAGCCAGTTAAAATACAACAAGATTCTCTCTTGTGTTTATATATATATAATATAAAACCAACCAACAAAAACTTACTGTGGTCCTCACACACCCTAACATACCTACTTCTTACTGTTCAAAGATAGCCACTTTTAAGCAAAAATGATATATGCCTTACATGAACACAGCTGTCCTAAAATCTGCAGCTTTATCTTTCAGGTCCAGCAGTAATTCCTGTGTTTTCCTGCTTCTGCAACCTTTATACATCCATGTAGGCCAATTCCAACAAACCTGTAAGAAAAAAACATGTTTCCCACTTCATGAACACAATTCACCCTCACAGACTATTAAACCTGATCTAGTTCACTAGCAGGTCCAGCCTGTGGCTCTAATAATTTTGTTCTTTGAGTTAATTATTTCTACATATTCCTTACTTTGTACTACTTTGTATTTGTAGTTACAAAGCACCTTGGGGTGGTGGGGTGGGGGGCAGACAGACCACTCTTGCCCATTTTCCTCCACTCAATAAACAGTTGCACAAGTTTGGGTTCTTAGGTAACTCTCTAGAAGACTTGGATGTTTTTATTATTAGTCTTGTTTTGAAACTCTGTATCCCTCACTGGAGAAGACCAAGCCTTCCACCTCCCACTCATCCTCTTCAGTCATGGGGAACTGGGATGGCTGTTACTTCACTGTTTGAAGGAATCACATACTTTCTTCAAATTTTGTGTATCCAGGACTCCTAAGTGAACTCATGGCCTTTCACCTGAAAGGGCCAGTCTGCCCAGATCGAACTGCTCTTCCAGGAACACCAGCATATTTCAAAACACTCAGCTTTTCCTGGTAGTGACAGCTCCTAGGGAAAGGGTGGTGAGACAGCAGTCATTACAGTAGGATTGCAGGCCTGAGCAAATTGAAAGCTGGTCTTAGGGGTTTGTAGTCCCCTGAAACAAATGTACTTGCACTGGCCATTTGAAAGTGAAAATTGTACTGTGCATGCCTGGTGAGCCCATCAGATGTGCTGGAGAAGTGCTGGTTTTATAGACTGGCACAGCTGAAAATGAAGCACTGAGAGGAGGTTACAAATTACTGCTCTGTGCTTTCCACAGTTTAGGGGAGGTGACATCTTGGGGGATCCCATCTTCAGATAAAGACATAGGATAAAAGGTTGAAATAAATTACTCATGATCATTAGCTTCTTAGTCATGGGAGAACTACAAAAAGCACCTAGAACTGGTTAGATTTGCATGTTGTGTATTCATCCTGTTTCCTCAGTGAGTTTCTCAGTGGAAGGAACAGAGCCTGATCAGCGAGCTGGAAAAGCAGCTCTGCAGGATGCTGCCTGCCCTCCTCAGTGACTCTTGATTAATGATTACTTCATTAGGTTGTTTAATGGAGAAAATTTTATACCTCCACCTAGATTTTAAGCAAGATTGCTCTTTTTCTAACTTTCCATATATTCACCAACTTCAAACCTCTCCAGAAATGACAAAAAGCAGAGCAGCAGCAGGCTGTATTATTTTCAACTGACTTCACTGCCTTTAGTTCAGGCAATCTGAGTTGTCCTGATATTTAAAGTGACCTATGAAGCTGATCTTTACATTCAGAACCAAAAATACTATTTCAGGATTTTGAGAAAAAGAGATATGTACCAGTAATTCAAAGGTAGAATAAAAAATAAGATTGTGGTAATAAAAAAAAAATTAAAAAAAAAAAGAGTGTGTTTACAGTAAAATATCAAGGTGTTCTAAGGTACCTAAATAATTGTAACCTCACTTCAGAGAGAAGTCACACAACAGTCAGACAATTAGAATTAAGGTATTTGGTGCACTTAGCTTTTAAGTAATTAAAACTGGTTTTTAAAGATGTATTTACATTTTTATGTAATTTTTTTCCCAGCCTGAGAATACCACTCAAGGCTATTATTCATGGAGTTTGTAAAACCAAACTTTGTAGAAACATTCGTTCTGCACAATAAGGGACATACAACTCATTAGCTAACCTCATTAGGCTCCAAGTCCACAAAGCAGTATAGAGTATCTAATCTGAGGTCCTTAAGCAATTTAGAGCATGAAAACTAAGCAAGCTTCTTGTTCCCATAACTAAGAGCCACAGTCCCACTGTTTGTGTGGCCAGCACCACCCTGCACATTTCCCTACCCACAGTCCCCACTAGGAATGTGTGAACATGTAAAACCTACTGCAACTGCAAGGCACTGCTGTTTTCCATGGCCACTCTCTTCCTACTGGGCAACAAGCAGGTGAGAAAATGGGTTTGGCAAGTAGTGAACACAGAATCAATCTGCATCAGAAGGGACCTTAAAGATCACCTAGTCCAAACCTCTTTTCCTGACATGGGCAGGGAGGTTGCACAGAGTTCCCATCCAAACCCAAACATTTCCAGGGATGGGGTATCCACAACTTCAGCTGGGCAATCTGGTCCTGTGGCTCACCCACCCCTCACCATAAAACATTTCTTCCTTATAAGCAACCTAATCTACTCCCTTACTGTTTAAAAGCATTGGCCTTTCTCCTATGACCACAGGCCTCAGTAAAAAGTAATTCTCCATCTTTCATATAAGCCACCTTTAAATAAAGAAAGGTCACAATAACATCTTCCTGGAAGCCTCTCTTCTCCAGGCTGGGCAACTCCAACTCTCTCAGCCTGTCCTCAATAAGAGAGGTGTTCCAGTCCTCTGAACATTTTTGTGAGCCTCTTCTGACACGGCTCCAACAGGTCTGTTTCTTTCCTGTGCAGAAGATGCCCGACCTGGATACAGAACTCCAGGTGGGGTCTCATGAGAACAAAGAAAGAGGGGCAGAATCCCCTCCCTTTCCCTGCTGTCACATGGCTTTGGATGCAGCCCAGGACACAACTGGCTTTCTGGGCAGAGAGAACACATTGCCAGGTCATGTCCAGCTCTCATCCACCAGCGTCCCCAGGTCCTTCTCATCAGGGCTGCTCTCAATCCCTTCATCCACCAGCCTGTATCTATACTGGGGATTGTCCCAATCCAGGTGGAGGACCTTGCTCTTGGCCTTGTTGAATCTCATGGGTTCATCTTGTTCTCCTAAGTCTTCTGAAGGACGTTGCCACGTACAGACTGTTTCTGCAGCAATTTAACTGTCCCCACCAGTCTGCTGTCCTGGACAGCTGCTTCCTGCCCTAGGGCCAAAGCTTAAAGCAATGTGTGAGCTACAACTGATAATTAACATTAGATGGCTTTTGCGCCTGTGAAAAGCAAACCACCCATTTACGTGCCTTCAAAAAGATACTTATGGAAAATCAAGTACAAAATGGAAATGAGAAGGTCTAGGTGAGAATTTGACAAGCAAATAGTCATTGACATAAGAAAAATTAAAGGGAACTTTATTACAATATTAAAGATGCAAATTATGGATCAATGGCACTCCCAAGAAAATACAAACAACAATTACAAAGAATAAAGCCTCTGTAGGCCTATTCAAACACAAGCCTCAGAAAAACACAAAGAAGTTTAATAAGGATTGTAAGAAGTAGGGCATATATTTTACATTAAAGGATATTAAATATACTTCTCACCTTGGAATAAGGAAAATGTGATAGATGTATATAAAATCCTGAATGAATAATTACTTTTTTTTTAAGTTAACTTTTTCTTAACTTAAAAATTACAGTACACCACACAAAATTATCAGGCAGGATGATAGGATTTTTTGGCTGGCAAAAAAAAAAAAAATAGTATATTCAAGATTGTCTTGATTCCTTAATTTTATAATCTGGAAGAATTGCAAGAGAAGGAAAAAAAATCTTTTATGTTTTTATATATGCTTGCTCTCAGCATCTATTACTGGCTACTGTCAGAGGCAAGATGTTATTTAGATGGACCTTTGATCTGACTGGCTTAGTTAGTCTGAAGTTTTACACAAAAAAAATAATCACCCCTGTTTAGTTTTTTTTTTTTTTTCTTGAGCAGAGAACATTTATTATAACAATATTATTCTTTTAATAAAAATACAAAAACAGTAGAAGGATTACAGAGGAAATAACACAGATGTTATAAACTGATAAATTTAAAATAAAACACAGGCAGGGTACATCCAATACTGTAAGAATGAAAAAGTTCATGAGCTAACATACAAACCTTCTCATTAAAATCATCTAACAATCTAATAGTACCTTAAGTCAGTAACATGCATATATATCCACAAAAATATGGCTAAAAAAGATTTCTAGGAATTATAAAATAAGAATATTTATCACTAGGTTAAGTGGTTGATACAGTGTCTAATGACAGACTTATGGAAGGCCTATCCATGATCATGATAGGCCAAACACCTCTGACCATGTAAAGGAAAACCACACTCCTGAGTATCCTGACAAAATGGGAAAATAAGTGCATATACATTAGTTCTGGGTTTTAAAGTTGGTTTTTGAAAGGCCCTCCTCAGATGTTCAGGAAAAGCTACAAGCATGACATAGAGCATGGAAAGCAGCTTCTCTGAAGAAAAATTTAAAATATTAATTGTGATTGACTTAGAAAAGAGCACAGAAGACTAAATGTGCTATAGGAAAGATGGAGCAGGACTTTGAAATTAATTCAAAGCAATTAAATGATGGAAGTTTCTTAAATAATTCTCTTACTTTTCTCTTACTTCTCATGTACCCTGTAATTAGACTGTGATAAAAAAGGTCATTGAGCCTAAAACTTAAAAAGGAATTAAACATTTCTATGGATTTTGAGAATATGTACAGTTTTAATTAATCTGAATACCCTGGAATATTAAATGTTACACTTTAAGGATAAATCAGTCTCTATCAGAGATCAGAATGAAACCTAACATTGAACACAGGTGCACAGTATCATTATTTGACAACCACAGGGCTGCTTGCACCTTTCTCAGAAGCATTTGGAACTGACCATTTCTGAAGGTACAACAATGCATCCATATGCAATTTTAAGTAAATTTTTGGTTTCTGTACTCCTGCTGTGATAAGAACAATTAACAGTGCTGTGGGAAGAGGTGGAATCAAGCCCAGTTGCAGCATTGCTCAGTTTTGGACTGATGTCATTTACAGTGGAATGAGGAGTCAATGGCCCAAAATGGGAGAAAGACGAAGAAGAAAGCAAAAGGTGCCTTTTGGTTAGAACCCATGACAGACTGGGCTATAAAAAAATCAACACTAGTTAGAAGGGTTTTTAGAAAAAGACACAAAAAATACAGAAATAAGATTGTCATTGTCATACTGTGCTAGTGTAATCACCTAACACTACAATAATATTCTACGTAAAAACAGTTGTATCTTCCTGAGAAAAAAATCAAGTACTTTTAGTAATAATTCTTATGATTGAGATATCTAGTGGCTGTTTTCTTCTAAAAATACATGTACTGTCTTCGAAAATGAGAATTTAATGCTTTCATTTGTAGCTGTACACATATAATGTAATAACACTCAGTTGCAGTACTGAATGCAGAACTTAGCTGCATATTTCCCTTATTTTTGTACTTATAACATTGTAAAAATAACATGCATATCAGGAATTGATTCTGTGGCATTTTACCATGTCCCACTGAGCTGGGAACCAAGCCTGCAAAATCATACTCATGGGAATACGCTCCCCAAGTCAGGTCAGTGAATAAAAGCTCCTCACATGAGTAAGGCTACAAGAATAGACTACAGGAGGTCAAGGTCAGTGGTGAGTTTTGGCTGAGTCAGGGTTGGAGGATAAGGCCCTTATGAATCCTATAAATAGTTCATTGTTAAAAGAGGTCAGACCTAATTCTGGAAGTATTTTGAAAGAAGAAACTACTGCGTGACTGATGACGTACACCTACCCAGGCCTCTCTGCTTATTAATGTGACATTTGTTTGGAACCAACATATAATAAATAAAAGATATTTTTAGGATGTGCCAGGGAAATGTATTCAGATTTTTAGAGAATAATTTGAGTACATTAAAAGTGTTGCACAGTATCAAAGAAATGGTTGTTAGAGTATACAAATAAGGTATTAAAAAGCAGTGGTTTCTACTGATCCTGATGGACACAGAAAAGCAGGCCAAGGAGGCTAAAAGTAGGTTTTACTCACCTGAATTCAATCAGCTAAAATCTCATACCTAGACTCCTGTTACTGTAAGTCAAGGGAAGCAGGTGCCTCTACTACCATTAACCACATCCTAAGGCTGCAGTTTGGCAGAAACTTACACTGATCTAAGTGAGCACCAACATCAGGAAAAGCAGTATTCCCAAGGTCTTTCACCCAGAATGAGTGGTTTATTCCCAGTTCTGTAATTTTTGTTGACATAAGGTTTCAGTAACCTTGATAGATAGCTGACATTACTGAAACCATCCTCTTCCACCTCCTTCTTTCTTCCCTCAAGGCTACTTTTCAGTTGGATCAGTTCTCTGGTCTGGAAACTATGCCAGCAGTGGCTGGGCAGTGGACCAGAGCAATGCTGGGCAAAAATGACTGCTTCTTTCAACTTGAATGTCAGAGGAAGGCATTTTGCAAAGGGTCTGAATGAACCATGTGAGTCTAACACTTCACTGCCACCCGTACAGGGAGATCTATTCCATTCCCCTCCCTGCTGCCAGGGCCACACAACCACTGCTCCCCTTTGCAATGGCTGTGGACTTGTAAAGGCCTTCTGTGACTGGAGACACCTTCATAAGCTGGTAGAAAATTAAACCATTAAAAAAAAGTAAATGGATTTTAGTGTGTTAGCCAATACAGCTGGATCACAGAGGTGTTAGATGGACAGGAGAGCTGGCAAACCAAGAAAGAGGCTGAGTGACCTGGGGATGAGGAAGGGAGAAGAAAACAAGAAGGGAATAATGTCTGGGTCCATCCTTTCAACCATCATGAGCTGTTAGATCAGCTGCCCATCAAACTGCACCCTCAGGGCCCCCTTCCATACTACATTGGATATGATCTAATTGGAGGCAGACATGGGAAGGGACAGTGCCACTTTCCTCCAGGCCTTCAGCTGCACATAGGCAGGAGAGCAGAATTGAGGGGACAGGAGAACAAGCATCCACAATGAGGTAAAATGCATCTTAAATTAACTGCTAAAACCATGTGGTATCAAGTACCCTCTGGAATTCTTATATTTCCTCATTAACTAGAAGGGCCCTAAACAAAAAACTTCACATTAGAACCCTATTTCAAAGTGCCTGAAGCTCAGTGAGACAAAAGTCAGACATATGTGTTCATCCTGTGCTATCCCTGTCTATAGTCTCCATTCTACAGCGCTGCAACCTTACATTTTGAAGGAATGCATTTGTGCTAAATATTTCTTTCATTTTACAATAAAAATGGTAATGGAAAGACATCTAAAAAGTGTAAGAAATTTGAACTGATCTGCTGATATATGCATTATTATAACAATTCACAAGAGAATTGCAACTCTGTTGCAAAGTATTGACACTGTCCTCTTGCAATTCAAAATGCAGTCAAAACTGAAACATCACAAAGGAAAAAACACCAAGTTTCTAAACCTTACTGATGAATCCCAATCAGGCTGGAGCTGAAGAATAAACATAGAGCCAAGAGCTCCTCCAACAGCTGTTGAGACAGTGTGTGCTCACAGGGCTTTCATCAGCACTAGCAGGGGTTAGTCTCTGGAAAGAACAAAGGAGCCTCAGAGCCTGGGCCATGGAGGGAGAAGCAGCGGAAACAAAAATGCCACTTGGATGATAGTCAGAGACTTCCCTAAGTCCCATTCTCTTCCCCTCCCTCACTTTGAGGAATACCTTAACTGTTTCAGGAGCCTCGTTCACTCATGTTACTGGCTTGAGCATGTTACTGACTTCAATGAAGCCATTAAAAAAAAAAAAAAGTGCTGTTCAACACGAGCATGAATAGCAAGATGATTTTTTCATTAGCAGTTGAAAGACTATTTCCTATGATGAATTATTAAACAAAGCATACAAAAGCACGTCCATGAAGCACTGGCTTCCACAACAGATGCTGACTGATTTCAGTGAAATAACTCAGATCTATGTTGATATTCAGTGATTAAAGAGACTAAAAAAGAGGTAATCTCACACACTGAAATAAAGGTATTTTATTCTGCTAACTCTGAATCGCACACTTCACTACTAAAATATTGATTTCAAATTGCATCCTATTGTGCCAAGAGGATTTAGTAAACATATTAAGCACTGACTTCAGAAAGAAAAATTATGTATATTTTTTGTGTTTGACTGGATGAAAACATTCAAGGAAACAACTGTCTAGACATGATGACAATAAACCCTCTATTACTGGAACGGCGGGAAAAGAGGCTGCCCTCAGTAAGCAGTACTTCCCAAAAAAGTCACAAACTGTTTGCCAGGCTGTCATGTGCTCAAATAATTATTTCAGATATTCATTCTTCATAAGAAGTCCTATGTATAATTTCCCAAAGTGGAACACATCGATGGTTTATGGATCTGTGTTTTTGTCCATGAACAAAGGTTTGCTCTGTTGAGAGCTGAAAGGTGCCTTACACCCATCCCTGCCATGTCAGGCTGCAATGCCTCATCAGACCCACACTTGTGTCATGGTAAAATTTTCTAATTCTTGCCATATGAACTGTGTAAAAAGGGATTATAGGGACATAGGAAGTTAGCACAAAAATTGTTATTAGCAGTAAAATAATCATAATAATGGTTACAATACAATCAGTAGGGCCATTATTGCTCTCTAATGATTTCCCTGTGGTTAAGACTCAATATCCAGATAAAAATTCAAGGGAGATCCTCCTGTTACTAAGGCAGGAACAGATTTCTGAATTAAAAAGAAAGAGAGAAATTTAATTTGTCTCTTTTTTAATGGGAGCTTTAGTTTCACATCCCACTCCTGGAAGTTGTTCCACTGGGATCAGCTCCTGTGCCTGCATAGCTTCAGACTGGAACTAAAAACCAAAATTAAGTGAATCAGATAATCAGAAAAGGAAACTGAGTATAAATTGAAAGCAAAATTCACAATTTGGTTTTCTGATGCAAGGAAAAAGTGACAAATGGGTTATAACATTAATTTAATCTGACAGAGATAAGAAAATTGGTTATTTCTTTAAACCAAGAGCTTCTTTCTCCATCTTGCAAAAATATATCAAAATATATCAGGCTCTGTCTTAATTCAAAGACTGCCGAAGGGTTTTTTTAGATGCTTATGTCTTTTTCATCAACTGTTTAATTTTATGCATCAGGTTAAGGTGTCCTAATACTCTATACTGAGTTATTACTTGAAGAAGTCTGAATGAGTCAGCTTTGTGCTTTCTGAGGAATGTGTTGTGCTTCTAGGAAGTCAACTCGGAGCTCTGGGCCTGTAGATATGGCCTCTGATGTGCATAGCCAGACTGAAGGTTCAAGGAATGCAGAGTTTACATAATAAACATGAACTCTAGATCTGGGTACAGGAGATTTTCCCCATGTGAAAATGTCCCCTTTTGCACATACTTGCAGGATCAGTCATTTCTTTGGCTTTGTTGCCTTCCATTGCTTGCCTCTCCAGCTGTGTCATTTCCAGCTGTGTCATTCTCATAGTCATGAAGCAGCCCATTTTTATCTCAAAAAATGCATCCATTCAGGACCTCTTGTCTGTTTTCTACTTTCGTGTCTGAAATAAATACTCCAGCCACATTTTCAAGCATTATTTCATAACAGTGAAAATATAAGCTGAAATTCTTGCACAACCACTTGATCTAAGGAGCTTTAAGAAAAATGCTGAACACAAAACTTGTGGTAAAATTGTAAAAGTTGGCAATATGGAGATTGAGAAGTAGAACATGTTTGCTTTGCATTTTGATTATCAACCTGCCTTTCACCCACACTTTGCAGATATAGCTGATTCTGATCTGGCCTTTTTAGAGTTCCAGCTCTCAGCAGTGATGGGGAAAAACTTGGTACAGGGATTAGCTCTTAGAACAGGTTCAAGCTGTTCTGTATGTTGAGCTTGGTGTGTGTCCTCACAGCCCCCCTCCACTTCTATGCCACCTTTAGCTGGCTGATATCAGCCAGCACATTTCAGAAGGGAAATGGTAATTAGGCAGGCTAAAGATAGCCATGGAGCAGCACCTTATCAGTGCGACAAATATTTTCAACAGCTAAAATAACCCCAAGCAAACAAACCACAACCTCCCCTAAGATTACATGAAGTTTTACCTCCTTTGCAGATGAAAAGCACAAACAGGCCAGGCCTAGTCTGAGAAGATATCCCAAGCTTTGCCAGCAGTTTACGGAGACTCCATCTATTCAACAAGCAATTTCAGAGTGAACAGTCTCAGAAAACAGGGATGCTACTTGAAGTTCTGGAAAACATCTAATGCTTCCTGGGGGATCACGAGCACGGCAACTCAACACGGGGCCTCCTGGTTTGTGAACACCAAGTGACTGAAGCTCAACTCCAGCCCTCACTGACAGGCTGCTGTCTGAGGCGCCTGGAGTCACTCCGTGGTGAAGCTTCCTAAAGGATTGCCCCTTTTTCTCTGTGGGGACCAGTGACAGGAGCGAATGGCTTCCAGCTGTGCCAGATGAAGTGTAGGTAGGATATTAGGAAAAGGTTCTTCACCCAGAAGATGGAGAGACCGTGGAACAGGCTCTCCAGGGAAGTGGTCACAGCACCAAGGAGCGTCTGGACAATGCTCTCAGGCACATGGTGTGATTCTTGAGGCTGACCTGCTCACGGTCAGGAGCTAGACTTTGATGATGTTTGTGAGTCCCTTCCAACACAGAATATTTTGTGATTCTGCGATTCTTCCAGCCGGCCTGAGGAGGAGCCTGTGCGCCCACGCCACGGGGAAAACGAGAGCCCCCGAGTCCGGCGGGCCCGCGGCACGGAGCCGCCCGCCGCGGGAGGCTCGGAGGCGCTGTGCCGCCGCGGCCGCGCCCGCTAGGAAGCGGAAGGGCCGGTGGCGCCGGGAGCGACCCGGGAACCGCCGGAACCCCCGAGGGCCGTGGCCCCCCCGCACCTCCCCGCAGGGGGCGGGCTGAGGGCAGCTGAGCCGGAGCGGCGGCGGGCCGGGCCGGGGCTATGCTGCTGCGCCTGGTGCCCGAGTTCGAGCTGCGCAGGGACGTGCTGCCCTGGCTGGCGGAGCGGGGCTGCGCCGCGGCTCTAGGTAACGCTCCGGGAGGCCGAGGAGAGCCCCATCCCTCCGGCCGGCCGTCCCTCCCTCTCTCCGACCGCCTCCGTGCCCTCGCTGCCGCGGAGGCCGGGCTGCGCCGAGGCCCCCGGGTGAGGGTCCCCGAGAGACCCCCGGGCAGGCCCGCAGCGGGAGCTCCGGCCGCGGGGGCCCGGGGATGGCGGCCGGGGAGCGGCCTCTGGGCCGCCCTCGGCCGGGGCTCGAGGGGAGCGACCCTCGGGTGCCGGGGGATTTGAGGCGGCCAAGTTTGCTGGCCTCAAGGAATTTCTGACAAGCCGAAAACACTTCTACACATCTGCTGCACTCCACAGCTTGTTTCTTCTTCCTTCTTCTAAACACGTTTGGGGCTTTCTCTTTTTCTTCTCTCCTCTCTCCCCCCTCCGCCCCGCCAGAAAAAGAAAAAAAAAAAAAGAAATAAAAAGTGTTAGCATTACGCTCTCTCCCACGCTACTCCCCTTTCTGGGAGGAAAAGCCCCACAGGCTGAGCACTTCGGTGTGCCTGGTAAACGCGTGCTGGTTTAAAATTAGATGCAGCGTCAGCTGTCACAGCACCGTGCGATCGCCGGCGCAGCGAGCGCCCGCGGTAGTGGCTGGAAAAAAGTGACCTCCCGTATTCTTGGCACTGTGGCTTTTTGCTTGTTACTCATCTGCAGAGCAGCTGGCTCAGTTCTGCTTTTCAGAAACTGATGAAAACCTTATTGCAATAAAATTGTAATACAGTAAAAGTTATTGCTTCAGTAGAAATACCATCAATATGCAAGTGTGATGAACTTGAAACACCTTCGGTTGCTTTTACTTATAATACTTAACTTGCTTCCTGCATTGAGGGGCTGTTATCAAATAGGCTCAGAAGGTTTTGTTTGGTGACAAACCAGAAAGTATCAGCTTGGAGAATAAGAGAATTGTTTAGCAAGGCATCATTTAAAAAATCTGAAAAAATACTTCACATTTTCTGTGTTTACTGAACAATTATTGAAAGGTATCCTGAAGGGATCTGAGGTAAAATTCTGAAACTCCATGTATAATTGATTAATCTATGGATTTTTCAGTTCATCACTGAACTTGTTAATGGCAAAAGGGTCTCAAAATGGGACTGACTTGTGTTTGGGAAGGAGAAAATTGAATTAAGTCTTTTGAAATGTAATGGATTCTTCATTCAGTAATGTCCCTGGTAATACAGAAACATAAGAATCTAGTTTGGAGGGTACATCTGATCAAATACCAGTACTGCTGTATTGTGTTTTAACTTATCTGTGTGTAGTTACTTCTTCCCCCTCATGCAATTCTGTCATATTAGGAATGTGAAGGTGGGAGGTAGGGTTTTGAAAAGATTAATTTAAACATCAAAGAAATATCTAATCACAGAAAGCAAGTAATTTTTAGAAGTCATGGTACTTTGTGTCAGTATTTTCAGATGTTACTCATTCATATTTATTATTTTCTTTCCTAAGGACTTGAAAGCACTTGATAGCATGTGAGAACTGCTAATTGCATGAGAGCTGGGAGTAGCTGTGATTATAGGAAGGGAGCGGCAGGCAAAGTGAACCAGCCTTGTTCTCTTTATTCCACTTAATTTGGTATGAGCTGCATATAATGGTCTTCAGGAAATCAAACTCTGCATTCTGATTATGTTGGTAAAAGCTCTGTGCTGGGCACGCAGGCTGGGTTGGTTCTTTTGCAGCCCTTCATCTGCTGGTCTCAGCTGTGGGCATGAGGAAGAAGTTCTAATTCTATGTGCAGGATTTTACTGCAGGAATTTCCAAGGGCAGAGACTATTGCCACTTCTTTGCCTCCATATTCCCACTCACTGTTCTCTAGAGAAGAGAAACTCTTTTCTGACACAGAACTTTTTCAGCACTTTTAAGATGTCTGTGTCATGTGATAGGTAAATCCAATGACATGGAGATTCTCTACCAAAATTCTGTACTGAGGAAGTATTGCATGAGAAAATGTGGAGACCGTAGTACTCATCTTGAAAGTTTGAGGTGGTTGTTAAGTTCCAGGAAGCTTCAGATAAAAAAAAAAAAAAGATAGTATATTGTTACCTTAGACCCTCCCAGCTGTCACCATCTAGCCCTAATGTAGTGGTTTTATAGTGTACTTTGAGTGACCTGAAACCAATAGAAAGTGATGTGTTGCTCAATGTACAGGAAGGGTTTTCATTGTCCTCCCACAACAAAATGGAAAATTTACTTTCTTCTGATAATACTTAAAAACAGTTTTTTAAAAAATTATCACTGCAGACTGTACAAGCCACTTTATAGTATCAGGCTTGTTAAACTAAGTTTCACTAAGTGTCTTCCTTCTATCAACACTTCATGGTAACTGCCAAGTAAATAGTGTTGTACTTGAATAAATGCTTGCAGAGGGTTGAGGAAAGTTCTTTATGTTGATGCTTACTGGACTGCAGGCCACCTTTATTAGAAAATTGAGACCAATAATACAGCTTCAACCTTGCTAAGGGCAAAATTTCCACATCTAGTAAAAATTCCATCACAGATAAACACATTTTTGATGGCTGCAGTGATGAGAAAACATAAAGGCAGCATCAGGAAAGCATGCATTTTTCTCACCTTGAGTACAATATTTTATCTTTTTTTTTTGGTGGTTTTCTTTTTAATTTGTACTGCTTTGCCAGATATGCTCTTCTCTTTCTGTGTCCATCTTAGCTTTCTGCTTGTTTGTTTCTATTTTAACAGTACTCTATAATTCACATCCCGTATAATTTTGTGCCCTGCATTGTTTAGTTCCCTGTACTTGTAGGTAGGTTGTATATCTCTCTGTATAGTATTTAATTTGGGTGGTTCTTTGGATTTTGGTAGGTTTTTTTCTTTATTTATTTCTTTTTGGAGGCAGAGGATGAGCTAAGAATGACACAGGAGTGGTGGTGTTGGTGTTATAGAACTAATGTCTAAAGATGTAATTTATTTTCAGGCTTTCCTTTGAGAGGCTGAAGGGGTAGGTGTTAAAAAATGATATTTTCCTCAGGCTAGTTCTCTCTTCCTGTAGTGTCCAGAGGACTGGAGTATGGCTTAACTGTCTGAACCTCATGTTATGTATAGAGAATAAATGCAAGGAGGTAATTTTGGTTTGGTTTGCTTTTTTTATTCTTTGAAAAAGCACATTCTGTTTGCATAACAAAAGGTAGTGGTATTAGAATCATAATTATAATAAAGAGGTAGGTGTTTACAAAAATAATTGTTTTCTTGCATGTTTTGAAGTTCCTTGACTATCTGTGTTGAAGTTTATCAGATTTAAGTGTGTAAGAAGAACTCTCTCTTTTTCCAGAAAGGAGTAATTTTGGCATATGCAAATAAGTATTTACAAGTAAAAACGTATTTAGCATATTTGCTTAAAGTGTGCATAAATTATAGGACGAACCAGCTAAAATGAAAATCCTGTGTCTTTTTGTACTTCTTATTTCAGACACTTCTGAGAATTCATCAGCACTCTACGTTGTAAATGTTGAAAGAAATGGAAAAATTATTTATACCTGGAAGGTAAGTCCACCTTGGAATTTAATAAAAATGTAGTTGAGAATAATAGTATATGTGAATCTAATTGAGTTTCTTGTAGTTTAATTTTTTTTTAAGTAAGTGTTAGAACACAGAAACACAACTGATTACAACCTGGGGGGGTTGGACAGTGGGAAAATACCCATCTCCACTTCAGTCAAAGGTTAAGAATGATGAAACAGAGAGTAAAGTACTCACCTGATTAAGTCTACAGGGTTTTTGCCCTTGATTTTTTGCTGGACCAGAATCTCCCCTGAATGAAATGCAATTTCTTTAAAACACTTCATAAACACATAATTTCACCCTCAATTTCTTAGTGAAGCCTAGCTATTAAATTCATGTGCAGTGCTTTAGTTAAATGTTTTCTCCTGCTAAAATGTCTTAAGACACCATTTATCTAGCACTGTTTCTGCATGTACCTTTCTTTAAGATTCATCTATAACACTTTATTGCAAGTAGTCTGAAGTAACCCCTGTTTATTTGATGTCTTGAAGTATCTAGAGCTGACTTCTTAACATAGGATTCTGCTCTCCATGGTACATGTTTTATTTTTACTTCCAAGTTGGTTTTCTAATGGTTTTAGAAAATGAGACTTTGTCTTCTTCTCATTGTTCCTTTGATGAGACAAGCTGTGCAGCTCAGAGA